ATGTGTTTTTGTGTATCCAAATTCCTTAAAAGAAGGAATACTGGCATGCTTTATTCTCAACTATTACTCAAACTGAAAGAAATTATTTTTCAATAAAATTGTTAGGGTAAATTGCCAATTTCTCTTTTTCACAAAAACCATTTGTATTGAATAACCTTTGTCTCAACCAACCCATTCTATAAAAATGATAGTTTACTGAACAAATGAAAATACCTCTAGGCTCAAATGTTGTACTTAATAGCTGAACCGTCTAAAGTAATAAGCATTATAATTTAAAACAAATAATTTTAGAACAAAAGTGGTGTATGTATCCAGATTCATGCAAATAAAACAAATGAGCCATTTCGTCTGTGGTTCAGATGTCCTTGTTCTGACAGGTAAACTGTCATGTATCCCTAAAATTTGGGACTATTAGAATTATTCCCTCTGACATCATTCTTTCAAAATAGTGTGTCTGATATTTTAACAGGAAACATTGATGTTTGCCTACATTTGTATGGTCCGATTACCAGTCTGTTGTGAAAGCTTATCATTGGTATTGGCTCTTTCACATTACAGCACATGAGCCACTTCCGAGTCTCTGTAAGCCTAATTTTCATACCGTGTTAGTCTGGGTTGACTAGAGACACTCATATGAGTATAACAGAGAAATGTATATCAAAGAGCATTAAGAAAACATCCCAACCCAGTCCAGACCCAGTCCATACCAAGTCTGATATAACCCCATATGTCGATACTAGCCCATAAGTCCCTGTTCAGACTCACACAGCTACGCAATGATGCCGAATGCAGGAAGATCACAGGTCAGGGGGTGAAAAGTCTTGTGGATCCAGCGGTGGTGGAAGCATCTTAGTGCTGGCGTGGGTCTCCACATGGCTCCTCCAGTTCCAGGGCTCTGGCTGCATCAGTGTAGCTCCATGTGGCTTGTCAACAGGAGCGCCTCCTAGGGAGAGAGAGTGTATCTGGCCTCCAGTGAGCTATTTATTTCCATTGCACCTTCCAAATGAGGTCATCAAGCTGTGACCTGATTTGATAGCTAGACTCCACCCCTTTGCAAGTTGACAGGAGATTATGTAACTGCCACACATACCTACAATATTCTTTAATACTTGATGATACTTGATATTTGCTAATACTCATTGTGCATAGATTTTTATCTTGATCACTTTCTTATTTGACTAAGAACATCAAGGCTGTTCCTGAGTGCTCACTTGAAGGTTGGCTCGGTCACACGAGTAGAACCCCAGGCTCAAGTGTCAAGTAAGATCAGATCTACCCAGTGCCCTATGGAGACTGCAATCTTCTTGCTGCAGAAGTTAGTCTCACATTACTCAGCAAATCAAAATGTAACTGTTCAGTGATTATACAGTATGTGTTTATTAACTCCCCAGATGGGATTTTTTTACCTTTGTTTATTTGAGAACAACGGAATGCTGAAGTGGAATGGCTGAGGCCAGCAATGCAAGGCTTCATTAGTAAAGATGAAGCAGTGCTCACTTTGTTACACAAATAATTAGAGAGATTAAATGAAAATAAACACTGAGAGGATGTGCAGAAGCTCTGAAGTTAGGTAATTATTTTAATTACTCTAGTGACTTCCAACAACCTTCATTATCAGCCACAGATCAAGTTTAAATTGTTTTACGGAGGAATATCATAAACTATATGGAAAAATACCGTAGCAAACTGGTGATTATGCTGTATAAAAATGGCATTTGCTTTGAGTTCCCATTTAAAGGCCTGGTTTCCATTTCAGTGCCTGACAAACTCTCTAAATATTTGAAAAGCATGATGAATTTTTGCATGATAAAGTTCTGCCCCGGTTGTGGGCTTCAAATCAACCTCCTTAATTTTGTATCTTCATCTTTTACTCAGACTTAATCATAAAAGATGTGAGTCTACATTATTGAGTCACTGAGCATGAAACAATATGGCATATCCAGTCATTTGAGATAAATGTCACTTGTAATCATGTCATCCTTATTGCAGGATTAGCTGCACCCTGAATTTGAGGTGAACGGAGTTCCTTTCTTTCCCAGCTTAGCACAATTTGGAGTCACCTTCTCTACAGGTGGTGGAGGTGGGGGGAGGCGCTATTTAAAGAGTTCCTTATTCCTGTTCCAAATGGATTTCATTTTTGTATCTCTGGGACTAACGATGCTCCTGGGTTCAGATATCCCTTTGAGGAAATAATGCCCATGTTTTAAGACCAAGAAAACATATTTGACTGCCTGGTTAATGCGGGATGCTGTGCAAAACAGGTAATCAGCCCAATTAGCCTAATTTAATCTTTATAAACTTTCCAGAGAGTACATATTATGAACCCCATTTTCCAGATGAGGAAAGTGGGGTGTTGACAGGCTCATTGACTCTGAGTTTTCACAAACAGAAGCAGCTACCCTGCGATTCAAACCTAGGTCCGCCTGACTCCAGGAATCCTATGGAGCCCAACAGAGCTGAATGAGGTTCAGATGTGGATGCAAATACTGATTCAGAAAAACAGCGAGTGACCGTCCTGGATGTACCAGGTGTTGCATGTCGTGAATGGTTAAGTTCCAGCAAAAGTCGTAAATTCCAAGTTTGATTGGTTTCACGAGTATTTCATCTCTGAAAAGTCCTGAGCGCTGGAGAAGGAGCAATTAAGATAATAGGCTGCATGGTCTAGTGAGGCTAACACATTGCCAACCAAGAGTAGAGTGAGGCTTTTAATACAATTAGTACTCATTTGAGCTTTACTCTAGCTTGCAGCTACACAGGCATTCTCCTCCAAATTAAAAAAGTCCAACATGATGGAGACGTCCCTGACCTTTGGGGAGTCGAGGATGGAGTGCGAAAGTGGGGAAGGAGTGAAGTAAGCGGGGCTGCTGCTCTGAGCATGTATGAAGAGCCTTACGGATTTCCTTTCTTCCCTCCCTCCGCCCCCCCACCCCCTTTCTGTTTTTGATCTCCAGGGGCTGGTGCACCAGGAGGCTTGGCCAGAACTCATTTCTGCGGGGTTGCGTCAGACTCTTGAGCCAACCAAGCCTCTTATATGATTAGGGTGCACTAATAAGGGAGGCTTAAAGCGTTGGTTGAGGGAAGCCCAGAGAGAAGGCTAGTTCCTGCGAGTGCCGCTGCCTGGGGTATTGAATCTGTACATTTCCCTCTCCCAGGTCCCAGACCCGGAGCTGGAGGTTAGAGGAATTCACAGGCGCGCTCTGGTGCTGGATTCTAGGCGGGAGCTGCGAGGGGCGGGTTAGTCAAAAAGCGAGCATTAAGGAGGCTGCCGTGGGCATCCTCTCCAAGCTCTGGGTCTGCCCGCAGAACGCCAGTCCTCAGTATTTGAGAACAAGACTGAGCCGGCCGACACCCAAGGGAAGACGGATTCAGAAATGATTTATTTATAATGCACTGGGGATGCGCCTGCAAAGCATGGTCCCTCTTCTTTCTTCAGCTCCTTAGACAACCAGTCTAGGCGACCAGTCCTAGAAAGCAGGCAAATGCAGGCCCAGGGCGGACGCTGTGACTTGCAGGCGCGCTTCAGTTCAGCCTGACAGCGCACAGTGTGGTTCTACTGAACCCCTGCTGGGCTGGCTGTGTCCGCGTGATCTCGGCCGGCCTCCAACTGAGCAGCTTCCTGACCCAGAAAATGAAGGCGGTTCTGCTCCTCAGGCCGCCACGGAAGGGTCGCTGTGAGGTCCCGCGGAACAATTCCAGGGACCGCAGACAGCAAGGGGCCTGTGCCCCGGAATCAGTGCAGGCCAACAAGTAAACCGTCACACAAGGAGAGTTTTCGGTATTTCCCCCTGAACGATCGAACCACAGCCAGACAGCCACCGGTCGCATTTGGATCTCTCTCGTGGGCTGCCCCACCTGGGGGGCACCTAGGGGGCTCCGAGGGCTATCGATTTGCGCCTCCCGGGGAAGGCAAGGTTTGCGCTCTTCGCTGCATCCCCCGCACCCCAGCCCCGCAGCCGTGAGCCGGGGAGCGTGCCCCTCCGCCCCTCCCTCTCAACCCCGGGGCTCCGGAGTCGCCCGCACGGGAACCGGTCTGGCTGGCAGGTGCCAAAGACCTTGCGGGCTTTCGCCAAGCGGAGAGAGCGCGGGAGCCCAGCGAACGCGCGTCCACCCCCTCCGGGGGGCGTGCGGCCGGGGAGACCCTCCTCCCGCGGTGCGGCGGCCGCCTCTCGAGCGAGCTGGCGGGCTGTCCGCTCCGGAGCCGGCGCAGGGCTGGTCCCCTTCCCCGCCAGTAGCAGCGCTGCTGTCCGCCCGCGGGAGGACGCTGGAGGCTGCGGCGCCCCCCGCCCCCCGCCCCCTCGCTTTCTCTCTCTCTCCTCTTTCCTCTCTCCCCTCTCTCTCCTCTCCCCTCCCTCCTTTCCTTGCTCTGGGATCTTGCCGCCGGAGCAGGGAGAGGTTCTGAGCAGAGCCAAGACCCAGGGACCGGGGCGCGGGCTTCGGAGGCGGCACGTCACCCCCGGGGTCCCCTCGGAGGTGCTCCCCGGCCGGGATGTAAGGAAGGAGAGCCCTCACTCAGCGCCTGCAGTGCCCGAAGTCCGCCTTCGAAGGTGCCCCCGAGAGCGCACTGGGGGTCCCCGCGGCTGGAGCGCCCGTCCCCGTAGCGCCTCCGGACGGAGCAGCCAAGCCCCCCGGGGTGCGGGCTCCCTTCCGAACCGTCAGCGCGGTGGGGACTCGGGGCTCGGCACAACTCCGGGGCCAGCAGCGCGCGGCTGCTCCCCCGCAGTAGGGCGCAGCCTCTGCCCACCTGCGCCCCGGGTCGCCCGAGCTTCTCTGGCACCTGCTCGGGTTGCCCCCAATTCCGGGCCCCGAGGCGCCCGGCTCCAAGCCCCCCACCCCCGCAGCTCCCGGGCCCGATGGAGAGCGCGCCAGCCGCGGCTCCTTGAGTGTGGGTGCCGCAGCCGTCCAAGCTGCGCGCTGGGGTACCCCCGTTCGTCCCCCGCCCCCCCTACGCCAGGGGCCGAAGGGGCGTCCCGGCTGTCCGAGAGGCCAGGAAAGGGTGCGCCATGAAGTCCGTGCTCTTCAGCCGCTTCTTCATCCTCCTGCCCTGGATCCTCATCGTCATCCTCATGCTCGACGTGGACACGCGCAGGCCCGCGGCCCCGCTCACCCCGCGCCCCTACTTCTCTCCCCACGCGGCCCGCGGAGGCACCCGACTCCCGCTCCGCCGAGGAGGCTCCGAGAGCGGCCCGGGGCGCGGCGCCGAGAAGCGCAACCAGTCTGGGCCGCAGCCGCAGCCGCAGCCGCAGCCTGAGCCGCCGCTGCCCACCATCTATGCCATCACGCCCACCTACAGCCGCCCGGTGCAGAAAGCCGAGCTGACCCGCCTGGCCAACACGTTCCGCCAGGTGGCGCAGCTGCACTGGATCCTGGTGGAGGACGCGGCGGCGCGCAGCGAGCTGGTGAGCCGCTTCCTGGCGCGGGCCGGGCTGCCCAGCACACACCTGCACGTGCCCACGCCGCGCCGTTACAAGCGCCCGGGGCTGCCGCGCGCCACCGAGCAGCGCAACGCCGGCCTCGCCTGGCTGCGCCAGAGGCACCAGCACCAGCGCGCGCAACCCGGCGTGCTCTTCTTCGCCGACGACGACAACACCTACAGCCTGGAGCTCTTCGAGGAGGTAGCGGTCGGCCCGCCCCAGCCCTGGGCGGGGGGACCGGGAGCGGGAAGGGGCCTCGGGGTCCCGCCGGGCAGGTGCGGCTCCGCCGTCTCGCGCTCCGGCTGCACTTTGGACTTGCTAGTTGGCCCGGCGCGCGTTGGGGACTCTTGGTGGAGCCGCCCCTTGTCGATACAGGCGTGTGCGCGCTGGCCAGCGGGTACAGGGTGAGTGAGAGGACCGCTGTAGCAAAGGCAAAGTCTGGCTGGGGCTTTGCCACTCACCTGGCCTCGAGATTGGCCGAGGGAGGAAGTAGCACAGGTGAGACGCGGGAAGGATCTCCCAGAACTGGGCTCTGGTTCTGAGGGGCAGCGTCCTGCAGCTAGGGAGAGACCCAAGGCGGGGGTGACTGTCCTCCGATGACCTTTACAGCGCATCTAGGTGTGATTCTGAGTCTTCAATTTGAGACTGAGGACGATGGAGAAGGTGACCCAAAATCAGGCTAGCCGTATGGCGCAAAAAAAGGTGAAAGACATTTCTCCGGTGGGGGTGGGGGAGTCCTCCCTCCATTCCTTCCTTGTGCTCTACTAAGGCCTTTTCTGACCCTGACCTTAAGGGAACAGTTTAGCTGCTGGTCCCGTCACCGATCTTTCTCTAAGGCCCCCCCTTTGGCTAGGTGTTCAGGTGACTCTGGCTACTGGGCCGTAGCAGAGAGCACTGCTGCTTGGGCTGCCTTTGGAAGTACGCAGAGCCAGCAGGCACAGGGGCAGCACAGGTGTTATTTCTTGAGGCTAGCATTTTCCCCTAGGTGTGTGCATTCTGAAGTTGAGACTGGGTTGCGTGGTTTTGTCAGTTTTCTCTACCCCCTTGCAAAATTTTTGCTGAAAGAATTCTTTTTTTGAGCCATTTGATATCCTGCCAGACAGCTGCCTCCCTTCACCCCAAATTAACATTCTGCTTCCATGGAATCCACACCCCTCTCCACAGGTAAACGGCACATTTGCAGCAAGGTACATATGTGCCATGCACTGTGGACGCCTACAGCCACCTGACGTAGAGTCCATAGGCCACACTCGATCCCCGCTCCCCTGCCAATTTGCCTTCTACTCTTAGTTTTGCTTCTTAGCCTCCAGTTTAGAGACTGCGTCCTTCCAGTTTAATTTTTCTGCCGCTGTGGCTTTCCAATTCGTTTTTATTCACCTTTTTTCCATCATGAATAAAAAGCAGTCATTGTTCTTCCTCTTTTATTCCCAACCTTTCACTATGTAGGATGTTCTATGTTTCTGCAGAGAAATAACTAAGCTTGGCACTTGTATAGATATGGTCTGTATTATAACCTCTAGTAACGATACCATCTGGGCTTAAGTGGGCTCTCATGTAAATCCTGCTCGGGTGCTGCCCTTCCCCCCCACCAAATAAGTGACTTGCATCTGAAGCAAAGAACTTAATATCTTCATGCAGAATAATTTTACCGTAACGTTTTTTTTTTCTTCCCCTTCCACTACTTGAAAGCTGCCTTACGTGTGAAGGTAGGGGTCCTTTGTAAGTAAGTGAAGCGATGCATGGAACTGTCAGTGAGCCTCTTGGGGGCCTGGATTGTAAAGTGGGAAACGACTGGGGGTTTCTTCTCGCCCTTTGGTGTGAGGCTAGCTGAGTGGAAGAGTTGTCCCACACAGGCAGTGGACCAACTCCGAACACTGTCTTCCTTTGATGCTCCCCACACTGAAAGGAGGGCTTGTTGGTGGATTGTAAACAGCTGAAGAATCAGTAGGTTTTTCTTTGGTTCATTAGGGAAGGGGCGTTTTACAAGAAGATAAAAGGAAGAGGAGAGGATGGGAGGACAAAATGGCATTGGCAACGAGGAAACAAAGGAGAAAGCCTACGAAACTTCCAAGTCACTCAAATGTGTTTAATGGGAAGTAATGAAAGCATGCACAGCTCTGAGAGGAACCAAGTATACAAAACACAAAGTGAGCATTTTTAAAGTGTAGTATTCATGACCCACTTCGAATTTATATTTCTGTAGCTCCTGGAGATCACTCCTAGACAGTAAGTTTCTAACTAGTCCTCTTCGCCACTGCCTCTCTCCTGGCTGCAGTGTTTTTGAACAAGCCACTGTTAACCATGTATACTCGTGGATACATAAGGGACGCTGGTGGTGTAGTGGGCCACCTGTTGGACTACGAACCACAAGGTTGGGGGACCAAACCCAGGAGCTGTTCTGAGGGAGAAAGATGAGACTTGCTTCTCCTGTGCAGATTTACAACCCTGGGGTCTGCTAGGGGCAATGTTAGCCTGCCCTAGAGCAGCGCTAAGAGTCAGAAGCACTCTGGCAGCAAGTTGGGCTGCTTTGTTTTTAAGTTGATACACTCAATTTTCCTTTAAACAATGGATTCTTTTTCCTTGTAAGGCAAGCAAGATTAAGCCGTCTAAAAAAACTAGTGGATGTTACACCTCCTATGTCTAGTGCCTTTTCCAGGATTTGATGTTTACTGTCCTTTAAGCCTGTAGTTTATTAATGGCATGGTCTCTACTATACATTCCTTGTAGGATTAATGATTCCCAGTGAATTGCAAGGGAGGTGTTGCTCTCTTGGAGAAAAATGTAAGACCAGATAAAACTTGCAAGTGCTGCAGCTCCTTGGGGGAAGGGAAAGATGCTGATCAGGGATTCTGTAGGGCTGTGGTAAATATAGTGTATGTGCGCCTGCGTGTGCGTACACACACACACACACACACACACACACACAAACACAGAGTTTTTAAGCAATTCACAGTACTTAAGGAAAGAATGTCCCAAGTCATACTTCATCTTTTATTCATCATGCCACTAATTTCCACGGCTGATGTTAAAGGAGATAAGATAAAAGGAAGAAAATGAACCAGGTACAAATTAGCCTACCAAGTATTTGGCTGCAAATGAAGAGAAGTAAAGGATGAAAGGTCTCCAAATTAAATTAAAGGCGCAACAGGCAATCTATGTTCAATCATTCCTCCCTGATAACTGGGAGGGTGCTTTCTTCTCTCACACACAGCTAACTAATTTTCAGCCTCGTCTTTCAACTGAGCTGTGGGAAAGAAATATTTGCATTGAACAAGCCTGCGTTAGCAGCCAAATCCACTTGCAAGTAAAGCTCAGTGTGAGTCATCACTACAGAAACAGACTGTCCACTGGAGCCAGGCGGGTGGGATGGGGCTGTCCAGCTTCAAGGGTCTCAACATGACTGCTTCTCTTCCTCTGGTGTTGATGGGTTTTTTGCACGACGATGGCAGGTAATCCTGCCTGTCTGGGCACCCTATCGATCCAGCTCTCGGGCAAAGCTTCTTTGCAAAGGATTTAAGCTGCTTTGATACAAGCCACAACTACTGATAAATGTGTCTTTATACCTCGTTATATTTTCGATAGCACTATTAACTAGATTTCTCTGCTCTGCTAAAAAACCTTCACAGCTGTTTCCCTCATTTAAAGCTGATGCTTCTCAGGTGAAGCTGGTTTCACCTTTGGAAATCCACAGAAAGGTTAAAAAACAACACTTTCCAGGCCAGACCTGGTATCACTTTGATGCGCTGAGACGGGTAGACAGATGGAGTCTGAGACACTCTGGGAACCCCGTGAGGCTGCATCTGGAAAATAATCTGAAGAGGGGGGCACTAAGGAAGTCCCTTGTTGGCTGTTAAGGTGTCTGTGTCTAAGCAGGGAAGAGTTGAGGCTTCATTGTGTCTACCTCTTGGCCATGAGCAGTAGTACTGGGGCTTCATGTAGTGCTACTAAAAAATCTGTGGGGAAAATGGAGTTACAGAGAAAGAAATGTGTCCAGCAACATCTGGAGGTTCCCCTGCCCTGATACGTATTGAGCTACACATTGAGCTGCTGACCGGAAAGTCAGCAGTTCAAACCCACCAGTTGCTCCGATGAGGCTGTCCCCTTCTGTACGGACTTAACAGCCCCAGAAATCCAAGGGGGGCAGTTTTGCTCTGTCCTACTGGGGTCCTCATGAGTCAGAAGCAACTCGATGGCAGTGAGTTGTGTTCGGTGTGCATTTCCCCCTCATGGGTGCAGCTTGTTATGAGACCTGACACGCAAAGGAAACCTGAGTCTGCAGGATTCCTAATCCGTAATGTATCTGTATTCCCGACAAGGGACATGACAACTACCCAAATGACATCGCTGTGTTTTCCAAGTGAACAAACCTAGAAGCTTCATTTTGTTAAAGTAGGCAAGAGTTGCTTAGTTTTGTTTCACTTGATTTGAAATGTGAGCCTTTTTGTTTAATTTCTTTCTGTCTGGAGGGATGTTAATCGTGTCATAGATCTAATAAAATGTGAGCCTTTTATTGAAATGTACGTACAAAACTACAGCCCGTTTGCTTAGGCTAAAACCCCAAATAAGCAGACTCAATGCCATGACCGTGTAGGACAAGGCAGAGCTGTCGCATGGGGTTTCCAAGGCTGTAGCACCCGTGGGTTCGTGTTGCCCATCTTTGTGGCAAGTACTTCAGGCCCCAGGGTGCTGCCAGCACTCCATTGCTTAAACTACCAACCCTCCCTGTAGACTTCCCTCACCTTCCCAGGGCGGACAGCGCTTGAATTAGGGCTCATAGCTGACAGTATTTTCTTTGGAGACCAACAGTTTTCATTTGAATTCTGATATTTTAATGGACCGGAAATAACAATTTGGGTGCACGGTATTTTTCCCTCCTGCCCCTTCTGTTAACCTTTCCCATCATGCTTCTTACCCACCAAAGTTCTTCTCGCCGATTCCCATCCTCATGAATAGACATGAGGACAGTCCAGATTCTTGGTGAAGTGAATACTGTGTCCTTTAGACGTTTCGGCTGTTGTCTGCTGCTTCTTCAAACCTGAGTGTGTGGCTCCAGTTTCTTCTGTCTGCTTCACTTGCCTCTCAATTACAAGCTAGTAGATTTTCTCTTGTGTGAAAAGTAATGGACTAGTAATTGCTTTTACGCCTTGCTACAAAAGCAACACAGAAGAAGCAAAGTCAAAAGTCTGTTTATGAACGAATCC